TTTAACGTCATTCAACAAGATAGATTCCTAACTCTTTCCTCATTTCAACAATATCCTTATTCCAACATTCCTCAAAAAAAAACAAATTAAAGCAGAGTTTGTTTGAACCCAATCCAAGTTTATATAAATTCAAATCGAGTTTATTTGAACCTAATCTAAGACCAAGTGAACCCAAATCAGATTCACTTCAACCCAATCTGAGTACAAGTAAATCTAAGCTAAATTCACTTAAATCCAATTCAAGTCCAAGTAGACCCAAGACAGGTCTACTTGAATCTAATTCAGATCTACTTGAATCTAACACAGGTTTAAGTGAACTTAAGTTCAGTCTACTTGAACTGGATTCAAGTAAACCTGAGTCAAGTTCACTTAAATTAAAATACTTTAAAACTAAAAAAATTGAAACTAAAACTTCAGGGTATTGCTCAGATTTGAGAGCTAGTCAATTAAACTAATACTCACTATACAATATATCATACTTACAAATCATTTACTGCTATTATTCAGTCAATCAACCCTATTTACTAAATAATACATCATACTTAAAAATTACTTATATCCATCACTTAATTAATCAAACAATATCTATTACCCAATATATCATACTTACAAATTACTTACTGTCATTGTTTAATCAATTAATTTCTATTTATCGAACAATACATCATATTTACAAATTTTAATAAATTATTTTTAACAAAATTAATAATTGAATTATCTAATATATATATGTATTTTAGTATAAAAATTTTATTTTTTACCTAATAATTGTTTTACAAAAGTTATGTATATACATATCTGCAGAAATATATAATAATGATGGTTACTATATATATTAAAATTCTTATGTATATTTATTAATTATCTCTTAAATATATGTATTATATAATTATTAAATATAATCAAACAACAATTATTTAAATAATTTTCTACAAAGATATTTATTTATTAATTTATCAGTTAATTAAATTATTAATTAATTGCTTAGAAATTATTGCTAAATTATTAATTAATTTTTAATTTTTATTATTAACAATTTATAATTAATAATTAGAAATTTTCTATATTAAGACCAATATTATTAATGCTACTATTTGAACTTTGAACTATGGTTATTTACCCAGTTCAAGTCAAGTTGTAAAACATTAGATTAGTTAAATAACTTTAATGTCTAGCAATATATATAGTATATATATCATTTTATAAATATAAATATATTTTATTAGTTTAAATGATATAATTACATATTTTAGATATCTGCATATTTAATTGTATTGACTCAGCTAATAGACTAAATAACTGATTCATTAGTTCAAATAGTTAATTATAACATTGTCTCAATTAAATTAACAATACTGGTTATAATATAAATATGTTATTACTATTATTATAACTTATATTAATATTATAAAAAAGCTGCAACATCATAACTAATTACATATGTATCTTAATTGCTTATACCACTATGCATTATTATAGTATTTTATAATTTATGAGAGTTAAAATTTTATAAATAAAATAAATTTGTTCTCATGATTCAAAGTGTTATATATCTTTTTTTTAATAATAAAAATATGTAAATGTAGAGCATTAATATATAGCCATATATCTAATAAAAAATGTATATTTTATAAACTTCAAAAATCATATAGAGACAGAAAAGAAGAAATAGTTGAGCAGATATATATTACAAAAATCAGATTTAATAAATTTCTTGCAGAACCAATACTTGAACCTATAATCAAAACTATTGTTAATTGAATGATATATATAATATTCAAAGCCTTACAACTTACTAATCTTTATGTTCTTTATCTTCTCAATACAAATCAACCTATTCCAAACTTGGATTACAACCACTTTATGCAATTGTCTTTTCAAGCAGTTTTAAAAAAAATATTCAATATTTCTAAGAATACCATGAATATAATATTAAACAATGTTCGTGATAACTTATATACTTCTTTGTGTTCTGCAAATCTTATATAAAATGATGAAAGGTATGTATATAATATGGGCTGCCATCTTCTATACAATTACATAATAATTTTTTATAATCATTTTATTCTTTTAGTGATCTAGGACAAATAATTAGTTCGATGACATGATTATATGCTATTAACTCTTAAAACTACATTGTTGTAAATTTGTATAATCATATATCTTGTTGGGTCCAATAGAAATTGGAAAAACAATTAAATTTTCTTAGCAAAAAAAAAAGTAGTATGCTTACATATCAGCTTGTTTCTAATTTTATATGTAATCAACCTTTTTCACTTTCTTAGTTTGTTTATAAACTTAAACCTCAATATTGTATTCTTGTCAAAATTCGTGTATACTATATTTTTAAAAAAACAAAACAAACTATACTAGAAAACAAATTAATTTCTGAAGAAGCTATTAGCCAATAATGGTGAAATTATCTTTAATCACTTTAAAAAATTCTTATTACATTTGAAAAAAATAATCATGCAGAAACAGAAAGTCGACACAATTCATATAAGCAAGGCTGTGGATTATGTTTATTTACAATTCTACCACATACAAAGTTTCATCAGCGATTTGTACTAATAGACTCTGATACTTTGGATCAAGTACTTTCAAAAACAAATTTTTGTGGATTAGGAAAAATATCTAAATCTGATTTTAGTAAGAATATCAAGGAATGGTGAAGAATGGCATTTCAAATTGAAAAGGTTATAACAACACAACGATGATTTGGATTTAATATTATGACAGATGGAATGAGTGTTAGTGCAAATCTTAAAAAAAATAAAATAAAAGAAGGTATAAATGCTTACAGATTTGATCAGGAGAGTAATTTTCATCCTTTAGATATTAGAGATGGCGATTGTGTAGTTGGTTTGGATCCAGGCCGGAGAGATTTATTTGTAGCTGTAACTGAAAAAAAATGTAAAATTAATTGCTCAACCAAAGAATGGCATTTATTAGCTGGTCATACGCATGCAAGAAAAAAACGAGAAGTTTGGATTAAGGGCAATAATTCAATTGAAACGATCTTACATAGTAAGTATTTTAATTCTTGAATTTACTAGAAATATATTACCTTTAACAATTTGTTTAAAAATAGATATTCCGACACCATCATGTTCTTCTATCACTTCCTATAACAATTATCTTGTATATGTTCTTCAACATATGCGCACCCTTATTGAATTCTATGGTGCAAGACGTTGGCTTCGTATGCGATGGAAGTCATACATTAACCGTAATAAGGCATATAACAAGCTCTGTGAGCGGATCACCAATAAAAATCCAAGAACGATAGTTGCATATGGCGATGGGAAGTTTTCAAGTTGCTCTAAAGGGCATGTATCTGGACCAATTAAGGGCCTATACAAAGAGTTGAGGCGAAGATTGGGGAGAAGAGTTCGACTTGTAGATGAGTACCGAACAAGTATTATATGTTCAACATATAATGGACGAATGGACTCATTTATTTAATTAAATTAGTGAATTTCCGAGATTTTTTTTAGCATGCTTTCTTTTTAGACCCTCTGGAACCGTGACACAAATGCTGCCCGTAGCATCCGCCACCTATTCCTCCATATGAACTCTAATAATGGTGAACGCCTAGAAGAATTTCGCCGTTCGCCGTAGCTACTTCGGGAATAAGTCGGATGCATAGGGTGGGAACGGCCTGATGACTGCATACCGCGTCTGTAAAGTTGTAGCTAGCTGGAATCTCCAGTGTATTCGGACACTTTTTTTGAGTACCGTAATAATACTCTAAACTATATTGCAGAGCTTGCTCAGTAAAAATATACTTCAGTACGTGATGTGGTTTTAAATATTTATTACTTTAGTGAACAGCGATGTGCATGTTCATTTGTCAAATTATTTTGGTTTGAATTGAACATATCGAATTTCACGCAATTATATATATCAATTGCAAACTCGGCTGATGATAGTTATGGTAAGCGGCCATGCTAAAAAAGAGCAGTTCTTATATGCAAATTAGTCCCTCGAAGCAGGGATCTGTGATTTGCTGAGATCTTAAGGAATATATATGTGCATATAAAGCTTTTAAATGCATATCTCTTAGAAACACTAAATCACAGTCCCTGTCTCGAAGTTAATTTAGAAATATCTAATTCTTGTTATCCAATAATCTGCAAACCAATAATAATACACTATTCAACTGCAATCCTGCAAATTCGGAAATGACACCCTATTTCACGAGTTACATTTTACATCAATCTTATTAAACGGATAAATTTTAATGCTTTCATCTACGTTAATTCGAAGAACTGCGCAATCTAATTTTTTGATTAGCCAATACTCGGTTAATAACCTATTTGGTAAATATATTATATAGTATTAAAATCTATATATATGATCGTAGCTTTAAATATATTTAATTCAATACATCGATATCTTTTAGTGAAGTCATTGCTTCCAAGAAAGCATTATACAACATATGTGCCAATTTCAAATTTTCAAAAAAGTTTACTTGCTGTGTCATCTGCTTTCGCGGCATTTTTGGATCCGAGTAGAGGGGGTAAGTTAACAAATAAAATGATTTTCTGTGAATTTTTTTTTCCTAATCGATTGCTTAAATTTTTTAGACATGATTGCAACATTAGCCGAAACGACCTCTTCAATGTTTCTGAGTAAACTTCGAGATGAAATGTTGCGTGATTCAAAAGGTCGTCAAATATTACGAGAACGTCCAATTGTAAATTCTAAAACAATCGACCTTCTATATTTGAGAAAATTACCCGAAGGAACTTTTGGTAAAGAGTATACAAATTTTTTAAATAGAGAAATGGTTACACCTGATACCAGAGAAAAGGTACTAAACTGTAATTTATTTAGATTTCGAATAATGTTGACAATAAAATTTTATAAATAGTAAATTTTGATTGTTATTTAGATAAAAGCTAATAAATCCTTGTCATTCTGTAACAGGTAAAATATATTGAAGACGAAGAACTTGCTTATGTCATGCAACGCTATCGAGAATGTCATGATTTTTTTCACACTTTAACAAGCTTACCCGTAAGCGTTGAAGGTGAGCTTGCACTCAAATGGTTCGAATTTGCACAAACAAAATTGCCAATGACTCTGATAAGTTCAGTGGTTGGGCCCCTTCGATTATCAAATAGTGAAAGAACCAGATTATTTGAAAAGTATGTTCCATGGGCTGTTCAATGTGGATCACAAAGCAAATTGCTTATGAATGTTTATTTTGAGGAATGTTGGAATAAGGATATTGTTGAAATGAGGAAAGAGTTAGGAATCTATCTTGTTGAATGACGTTAAA